ATGCTGCAACCACTATTGATCCGTCACCAAAAATAACAATTGCAAAGAAGAAATATATTATAATTAAAATTGTACATTTGTATTTCGTGATCTAGTTTGTCATTTTTTTATGTATAAGTTATTTTCTCTTTAGCATTGTAATGTTTCCCCTTAAAAGTTGTGCATACTCGTCATTGATGCACATGCATGTATGTATGTATGGGTTTTTGCCTTTTTGTATGTCGTGTGTTCTCTGTAAGTGTTTGTATGTGTGTTAGTGTGCCTTTTTAAAATAAATACAAATAAATAAATAAAAACAAAGCTAGTGAAAGGTAATACGTATGTTTTTGATATATCTTGGAGTCTAATTTAACACACGGAAGTATTATTAAAATATATTAATCACTCTATGCAGTGTTGGCCTAGTGGCTTCAGCTTTCATACCTGAGGTCGTAAGTTCGCACCCCCGTGCACCTATGGACTTTCTTTCTATGTAAGCATTTAACAATCATTCGAAAGGTGAAGAACATCGTGAGGAAACCGGATTGCCTTAGACCCAAAAAGTCGACAGGGTGCATCAGGTACGGGCTGATCACCTACTTGCCTATTAAATTGACAAATTGTAATAAAACAGATGCAGAAATGTGAGACCCAGACCTAAAAAAGATTATTGCCCCACTGATTTATTTTATTATTAATCACTCTATTCAAACTTTTAATACCCTACTTTTGAATCAATTAAATTGAATACAGTTGTTCTATCGAGAAATGTTGGCCACTTACAACCTAACGGCAGTTCATATAATTGTATGAATATTTTGGTCTTATCATCTCCTACACTACACGGTAACTAATCTCTGGCGTCACGATAACAGCAAGTCTGCCGTTGCCTCCATCCATCACACTAACATACAATTCTCCGCTCTAGTTACGCAAATATCATTTATTTAATATTAATTTACAAGTTGTACGACTAACTTGTTACAACGGTTTGATTAAACAGAAACCAATATTTTTGTAAGTTACAAACTGCCCTTTTTTACCGACTTAAAAATTCATCAGGTAATTTTTTTCATATTTTTTTTTATATAACGATTGAAGTAGCTTTTCATTTTTAATACTTATGATATGAAGAGTATTCAATATTTAAAACATATAGTACATTACAATTTATAAGTACAAAACGAAACGATAAACTTTAGCAATATCCCTTGCATTTAACAGTTAAAAGAGCGACTTCTCTTCACGTTTTGGTTTGAAATTTAAAACAACGTTTTATTTTTCCTTACTTAATAAACAGTTCCTTGCATAATAAAAGTAGTACAATAAAAACACTAATAAACTTATCAAGGCCACGAGCGGCCTTTTATGCGATCTCTTCCAGACAATACCGTGCCGCAAAAAGGTTTTATTAGGAAAGTAGGTTTAAATGAATTATGTTTTATGAATTAGTTCTATACGAACACTGCAAGTTATAAAATGTTGGTTCGTGTTAACACCATACAAATTGTTACTAAAATAACCTAGTGGGCTTCAGGCGTATTAAGAGGGACATTTGTATCGCTTTCAAGAATGTCTCCAGGGACATATAAATAACCCGAAATAATTATCTTCAACATTTTAAACTTCACATCAAACGACAATTGGCTTTACATATGTCAAGAGTTCATGTTAAAAGACAATTCAAAATATTTAATTTTTCTCGAAAATTGCAGTGGATAGATGGGACTGATTAAAATCTATACTTACCTTTCTTCACATGGAACAGTAACCTGTTACAGAACTCTAACATTCCCACTGTTCAAAATCAGCAGAATTTTCCAAATTCCGTCTGCAAAAACCTACCTAGAAATTCAGGCAACTCTCATTCAAATCTTTTGCGAATATAACAGAATAAATACTACTTATCCAGACCTTGATCTTTTATATGTGGTAGTGTATTTATCAATTTTTAAAAAAGCATTGTTAAGTACCTGTTACCTAATTTGCTATTTAAGTATTTTTTTGCTTATCGGTATTGGTAACTACTAAAATATAAAATTGGGTAACACTAAAAAATTATTAAATATTTATTATTTTTACTTTTTAATTTTTTGTGACATTTTTGTTTACCATATTAGTCATGTATTTTAGAAAAATTAGCTTGTAACATATAGCACATTATATCATTCTATATGATGTGATGAATTTCTATAAATAAATCTTTATCACCTTACTACGCACTTTATCTAACTTCTACAATATTACCTTAAAATTTGTGAAAACGTAACATTCTCGACTCACAACCACAGAGTAGATAAGAATATTTACTGGAACTGTAGAGCTTACTGTAAAAAATGTGAGTAAATTTTGAGGTAGGATTGATTGCGGGTGATCTGTGAACTGGGAATGTTTTGAGATAGTGAAAACAAATCGTATTAATTTGTTACTCAAACCTGATATACCGTTGTCGGTTAAATTCTTCAATGTAAGAAGATATTATTATAACGTGAAATACTATTTAAATATAAATACTATGTAAATTTAAATATTTTATTGACTGCATTTTTGGCCAGTGGCTTGAGAACGCACCCATCTACCCTGAGGTAGTGTGTTCGAATCACGGCTGTGCATGGACTTGTCTTTATAAGTGCGTATTAAAACTGGCTCGTACGGTGAAAGAAAAAATTGTGAGGATGTCAGACACAGATGGCTGATCACCTACTTTATTAGAAAAAAATCTGAGGGAGGGGATTGTGCTTAGAGCAAACAAAATGTAAAACACAAAAACATTATTATTATAACGAGATAATTTTAAAAAGAAGACGTTATAGAAGCCTTTTGTGTATTTAAAGAAAATGATATGTGGAATGAATGGCGAAGTTTTTGAATTCACCAAAACCGATATATTTCCAGTCCGATATTAAATTCCCAGCACCGCGACATAAGCTTAGCTCACGATATGAAATCGGAATCTTTGCTCCATTTTTAAATCTTCCTTTAATTTTATGCTACTGTGACTTCGTACATTTCTATTTTATTCTAGCTAACTATTAATTCTGGTGATTGTGTGAAGTTTGTATATATATTTTATATTTATATAAAGACTAAGTTTTGACCACATTTTAATGTATATACTACGCTATACAGTTGAAAAAATATTTTCAAAGTGGCTGATTAGTTATTTGGCTTCATGGTAGTAGCGTTTTGTACGACTTAGCATTAAAAACATTTTCGAGTCTAGCATCCCTACTCAAGAAAATTTACATTAAATATGTATGTATTTTATCAATATAACAAACATAGAAAATTCTTTTAATTCCGTTTTCCAAGAAAACATCATAACTCTTCTGTAACATAAACGGCACAAATATAAGAGTGTTTCCTCCAACTTCGATTTAGTTGGAGTAGAGACCCTTGGGCCGTGGGGTTCAAGTGCACAGGTGCTTATTAAAGATTTTAGTTGGCGCCTGGTAGTTACCGTACCGGTGTACCGGTGACCCCAGAGCTGGTGCTTTCCTGGCTCAATGAATAAGTATCGCAGCACATCCAGGAAATGCTGCCAGCGATCTAATACCTTTATACAGACGCATTATAGTGTTAAAAGGTACACTGCCAAAGGGAACAAACTTTTTAAATTTGTTTTAATTTTTTTTACATTTTTTAACTATTTTAATTATAAGTTTGTAGCTTAAGAAAAAATAAATAAAAGTAAATACAAATTATATGTATAATGCGTCTGTATAAAGGTATTAGATTCTATAATACCAAATAAATTATTCTATGAAAATGCATCAGAGCAATTTAATTGTCAATTAACCAAACAATATCATAACTTTACAACTCGAATCGTTTGCAAAACAAAACCCGCCACAAAAGTTTACAAAAAGACAAACAAGTAGGCCATCGAATCGTGCATTAGCGCTTTCAACAGATGTATATCGCACTCAAAGTTTTTCATCCCCTCCTCCCTTTTTATTCCTTTATTTCCTTCCCTTTTGAGCGCCCGCCGTTGACAGCCCACTAATGGAACGCCACAGAAGCTGTTCGCTTCTTCTATACACGAAATGAAATAGCCCCGAATGCGAATCAGTTGTTCTTTTGTTGTGTGTACTTGCGATTTCCACGCTTATAACTTTATATACCACTTTAAGACGCACTTAAAAATAGACCTCAGCGCAACTAATATAAAGTCGAAATTGTATTAGAGGGAAATGTGTGACAGTGGTTAAGTTAAGTGGTTTCCGCTGATGTACAATCAAGCAAAACAATCAAATTAGCGGTTTAGTGTTTTGTTCTAAAAGGTTTTCATAGTTACGACTGTCGTTTGTCAATATTTTCGTTGACGCATCATTTAGCGAAAGCTGTACAAGATTTCTTGTATTATTATTGCATTAAAAGTGACCTACTAACCTATTCTTAGCTCTCTCAATAAACTAGCATATGCCCATGACTTTGTCATTTCAGAAGAGGTTAATTATTAAATTCAGTTTATGTCTACAGGATAGACAATATAAGATCAGTACATACATTTTAATGTCTTAGTTCAGAACCTACTATATACTACTTATTTAAACTTAATAACCTCTTGATTTTTCGTTTTTAACTTATTAAATAAAGCTTTTAGCTTTTTTTATATGTTTGTTTTTGTATAAGGTAACAAAGTGTAAATAAATGAAACAAATAAATAAAGTAGCAAACATAGGCACAAAACTATTGCTGTTATTGAAAAACGTATAAAACTAAACGCGATATAAGGCAAAGTTATTTTACATTAATAAATAGATAGATTAAGGGCCGGTTTTTTGATCCGTAGTTAACTCAACTATTGGTAAAAAATCCTTACTATTAGTTAAATATCAGCAAAATGCGTTTTTTGATCCGTGGTAAGAGCAACAAATGGTAAAATATCTAACCATTAGTCAAAAAAGTTAACTACTCAGTATCGCAGGGTTAAAAAGATGGCCGCTGGTAATTTATATAGTAACAGCTGTTTGTCACAGAAATCAAACTATGATAAATACGTTTATTACTATCTAATGATGAATTTAAACATATTGAGATACTTTGATGTCGAAAGTTCTTCAGAAGAAGAATACGGTAATATTATATTAGAATATGTTTTAATGAGAAGAGCAAAAATATTTAGGCCACGCCATCCGCCGTTAGAAACCTGGGATGATGTTGATTTTTGCCACCGTTACCGTCTATCGAAGGAAACAGTACTCTGGATGGTTACTGAAATTGGGAACGATCTTAAAACGCCCACCCTCAGGTATGTACATAGCTACCTTTATAAGATTGCCTTTTTTTGCTTCTAGGTACTTTGATGCAAAATTTCTAAAATGCGTTTTTATTCCAGGAATAATGCAATCACACCCCTTGAGCAAATACTGCTCACATTGCGATTCTATGCAACAGGAACCATGCAACAATGCTCTGGAGATCTATTTGGAATGTCTAAATCCGCTGCGTGTAAAGTCATCCACTGTGTCTCCAGAGCAATATGCATTAAGCTTAAATATTTTATTTCTATGCCACGTACAGCAGAAGAGGTTAAAGATGTAGTGGCCAATTTTTATAAAATTGCCAAGTTTCCAAGTGTTGTTGGTGCAATTGACTGCAGTCATATTCGCATCCTCAGTCCCGGTAAGAAAATTCTCATGCATTAATTTATATGTATAAGCACACATCCTACAATTCATTAAGCTAGATGTTGGTTTTGTTTCAGGGGGTGATAATGCAGAGCTCTTTAGAAATAGGAAAGATACCTTCTCTATAAACACCCAGGCAGTTGTTGATGCTGAATTGAGAATAAGAGATTTAGTCGCAAGGTGGCCGGGCTCAGTGCATGACAGCACGATATTTAATAACAGCAGGTTGAAAGTACTAATAGAATCTCAACAGCTAGGAAACTGCTGCCTTTTGGGAGACCGCGGATATGCACTAAAAAAATATCTGCTGACACCACTGGCTGATCCCCAAACTGCAGCTGAGAGACTGTACAACGAAAGCCAAATTCGAACGAGAAATGTAGTGGAAAGAGCGTTTGGAGTGTGGAAGAGAAGGTTTCCCTGCATAGGCTCTCAATTAAGGGTGGCTTTAAAAAATGTACAGCCTATCATTGTAAGCACGGCAATATTGCATAATATATGCATAGATAGGAGGGAATATCTGGCAAATGACAATGAAAATTCCACAGTTCATCTTCCACTGGAAGAGCATTTAGCTTTCCCAGAGACTGCCAATGAGCAACAGTACAGACAGCAGCTCATAGAAACCTATTTTGTGTCTTTACTAGGTACAGAAGCGCGGCAGTAAATAAGTATATTTAATAAATAATATTAACTAATTCATTTTGTATATTATTGCTTATAATATTAACTAATAGTTTTATGTAAATACTTGTAATTAACTACAGCTACACATTAGTTAGGGACCTATGATATTCTTGAGGGCTTTTATTACATATGTGAGTTAAGATCTACCTACTTTATAACAAGATTTTATAAATAAAACATGTGACTTGATTAATAAACTATTTAATTTTCATATTTTCTAAATGTTGCTTCTTGCACTCCATCTCAATTTGATGTAACTCTTCTTGCTGCTCCATATATTTTTTGTGTCTTTCTTCCATCTGCTGCATCGCTTTTTGGTGTGCTTCCTCTTTATACAGCATGGATTTTTTGTGAGCCTCTTCTTCGTGCAGCATATGTTTTTCATGCTCTTCTTTAGCATATTTTGATAAATCATGCTCTCTTATTTCTTTTTGTTTTAAAAAATTAATTTTTTTATCCGTGTATGTAATAATTCGCTTCCTAGTTTCCAACGGGTTAAAATAACTTTTCCTTTTGTCGTAGGACACAGCTAGAACAAGAACAATTAATATAAGTATGTGCCTAGCCCTTCATTAAAGGTATATTAAATTTACCACAAACTAATAATGTCTGCTTACATAACTCTTTAGAGACTGGTTTTCGCAGCATAGCCTTTGGTGTTGAACAGTCAAATACATTTGGGACTTCTGGAACAAATATAACAAAATTGTGAAACCCTACATTTGCTAATAAATTTTTGATAAACAAAAATTAGTATTTTACAAACCTATATTGTTGGGAATGTTCTCCTTACAGTTTTCCTCCCAGTCTCTGTTTTTAATTGATGGAATACTTTGAGAAGTGCCTGAAATAATAAATAATAGTATAAAAAATTGTTTTTAAAAATCAAGTAATTGGCTATATAGTATGACTTAATAACTGTTAACTTACATGGATCTAAAGTCTCAGCTTGAATAAACTCTATATTTACATCAGCGGAGTCTGTAATATTTTTTACTTCTACATTACTAATATCTGTAAAATAAAAACCACAATTAGATATAGTTTCACTCATTTAACCTAAACAATTTCAATCCTCAAGAAGGGTCAATACCCAATGCATCGCTGTCATACACCGCAGGAAGACCCGATATTGACTCTCCCATTATACTATTTAACCACTCTGTGGTGTCTGATGGTTTAGGAGGAGCTGGTCCACCTCCAGTTAGGCGTCTTCCGTACTTCTCTGCTGCCATTTCCTAAAAAAATACATTATTTAATAAAATATAAGTAATTTTATATCATTTGACACAATAACATACGAGATGAAGTTGTGAAATCGGGACCAAACACAACAGATACAAACCTTTCTTGCAGTTTTTTTAATATTGTTATATTTCTGCTGTAACTGCTTAACACTTCGGTGTCTTAACCCATCTGAATTGAAAACGTCACAAAGAGATTTCCACGCTGCATCTTTTTGTACATTGCTGGAGTGATCCGTTTTTTTGCACGTTAGGACTGGGTAATCCTTCAGTAGCTGCATTAATTTGGTCGTTTCTCTTTTAGCGAAGTTAGCAGTACGGTCCCTTTAACAAAACATAAATGTATTACTTTCTATTACACAAGATAACCCGGAATAAATAACACGAAAATATGTTTGTACTTACTTGTTTGACTGTTGTCTGTTTGCGGACATCGTTATTGTATTAATATTTATAATATTATGTATTTTAATATAGTATAATATTGTATATTAATTTGACTCTTTACACTCTTCAAAGCACAAATAACGAATGAAGATGGCAAAAATGGATTTCGTTCACTCAGTATGTCTAGTGTTGTCATACAAAATAAATGTTCCCCACAAAAATAACTATATTTTTGGGATGTCATTGTTCATTGCACTGGCAACAAATTGACCAATTGTTAAGATTTACTATAGTTAAAAAAGGCATTGAAAAACGCATTTACGATTTTACCAATGGTTATTCATTTAACTATAGTTAATGTAACAAATGGTAAAACCATTTTTTACTACGGATCAAAAAACTGGCCCTAAAGCGTTCATATCAACCTATTTTCCAATTCAAAGCTGAAGCAATTTACATAATCAAAACTGAAAGTAAACAGAGGTTTTGTGCAACAGTTGCAGGTTTAGTTGTGATCCGCCCGCCCTACCGAGCGCACGCCGCCCGCCCTAGTAGTTTGTGATCACGATAAAAGTTTTTATTCTGTGATGTGAGTTATAACTGACACTGAAATATTTAAGGGCAGAAAGTAAGTGTAGATAATAATAAAATAAATTGCAATTTCGGTCTAGGATTAAGATTATAAAGAATAGATAATAAGAATTAAGTTTTATTCACCGCGTTTATGGCTTAGTGATTGAAGCACTTGGTGCTTGCATTTCCTTTCCTTTCATTGATTGTTTTGGGTATATTTTTCATTATTATTTCGTAAAAAAAAAAGCTCAGACGATGAAAAGTTTTAATCCAATTCCTCAACGAATAGATACGACTTTTCTGTCACTAATACGTAATACAAATTATTACTTTACGATTTCATTTAGGGTTCCGAAAGATAATATCGCTTGTTATAAATAATCTTTCTTACCCCAATGAAGAAGCAATTCATTTCTACACAAGACCAGTAGCTTTTCATTATTTATTTTTATCATTAATAATGCTGTTTATAAACATCCTAGAAGAGGATATCGGTCGTACTTGATTGTTACTTGTTTTCACATTACGTCAAGGTCAGGGGTGAGATTCCCGTCTTGATTTATTATTTCTGTTACTTTTATGTCTTATTAACTGAATGTACTTTATTCGACTTTTATGGGTTGTAACTGCCCAAAAATGAATTTAATGATATCTGTAAATTTATTGTTAAGAGTTTGCTGAAAACAAGATCTGTTTTTGCTTATAACATTTATTGCGTTTTCTTACGTTCGTCTTATGTTAACACCGTTAGGCACTTAGGCTATTGTAGTATGTTTTTCTCATGTTTTGTGATATAATTATAGTGTTATTATTATTTTATAGAAAGACCCACAAAAAAACACGAATTTTTTCGCAATAAAAGCCTGTTTATCTAAGTTATGATTACTAAAAATAAGCGATAATGACGTTTCAATTCAATTATTTCGTAAAACTGTTAAATCTTGATTTACCTAAGGTTTTAATGCAATTTAACCAAGTAGTACTAAAACCAATTTCTATATTAAGGTTAAGCTAAATTAAATCAATTGTAGCTCGATACTTGTGGATTCATAACTGGTATGATTTTTAAGAACTTAAAAGACATATTACTTCATGTCTGTATAATATTTGATTTCTGATTTGAAACTGATTAGGAAATTATATTTAGTTTTCTATCGAATCTACGGTATCTTTATTAAACCCTTATTAAATTGAGACTCTAAATTAAAGACTATGATTAATTAATTAATTATTATGGCTGTAAGATTTCCTTGTGTTTCTATAACATCATACAACACCACATTGTTAAGATGAAATTTAAACTCCCCAAGGTCGACGTGTACTAAATTCGCCAAATTCTACGAATACAACAAGCCTTTGTTTAGTTTGGCTTCAAGTTAATGAAAATTATAATATTTTACACCTTTACAGCGTGAGCTTGATTCTATTAAATTGTTCTTAGTTTACTAAACACAAATTTCATTTGCAATATAGTTTCCAACTATGACAAATTTTAATATTTAAGGATTATGTTTATGGTATGTTCGTCTGGCGTGATTGAATTTATAAATAAATAAACGACGACTCATTGGTCTCGTGGTTAGTACCCCTGACTGCGAATCCATGGGTCCCGGGTTCGATCCCCGGCTGAGACGAACATCGATGTGATGAGCATTTGGTGTTACGCTGAGGTCTTGGGTGTTCAAATATGTATTTATATGTCTATCTATCTATAATATGTATGTATATCCGTTGCGTAGTACCCATAACACAAGCTTCACCAGCTTTGCATGGGACTAGGTCAATTGGTGTGAATTGTCTTTAAAAAAAATACATAAACGCTAGTGTCATTACTTGTTTTCATACGCATAAAGCTATTTGGGTTAACAAAAGATAAAGTATTGGTACTTGTTATTCTTATAAAGCATTAATAAATAGTTTATACATTTAATCATAGTTACTGAACATTAATAGACAATATGTGTAACTAAGCAAATATCCTTCAGGCATTCATTTGACGTAGGAATTTACCTACCAGCAGTACGCAGAGTCGTACATTAAATTATCTTCAGATTGTAATTTTATAATATAAAATGGCAAATTTAAATAAACTATTTTAATAACTGAAGTGTACTTATTATTTAATGGATTCTAAAATGTTGTCCATACATGACCTATCAAACCGATGTAAGGGCAAAGTGTATAGTCGATATTAAAATTAACTTATAATACCTAATGCGGTGTTTTTCCTTTGTTGAAAATGGCTCTAAGGGAATTAAAGCATATTTCCCTCATAAGGCTTCGGTAAACACGGGTGACCCCATTGGCGTGTGACGGCTTAACGAATTACCTAATTGGCTCTTGATTCTTTACATTAATCGCAATCTTGAAGCACTTTAGTATTTTCCTTTGAATTTTCCTTCAATTAATCGGTCGTTTCTTATTCTAATTCAATTAATTTATTCTAATTCATAAAAAGTCTCGCATAAAATGTTTATATTTTCGAATACTTTTGTCTGATTATGTGAGGTAAGCGTATCCAAAACTGATAATAAATAGTGTTATTAAAAAATAAAAAATAAATCATTAACAATCTTTTCGGTCTGGGCCTCAGATTTCTGTATCTATTTCTTGGTCATTTATCAATCTAGTAGGCAAGTACATGATCAGCCACCTGTGCCTGATACACGCTGTCGATTTTTTGGGTCTAAAGCAAATCGGTTTCCTCACAATGTTTTCACCGTTCGAGCGAATGTTAAATGCGCACATACAAAGAAAGTCCATTGGTGCACGCTGAAGGCACTGGGCAGCAACACTGCTATCAAGTAATGAAAATTAAAGACATTATACTTTTTCTTGTTCACTTACAATGTTAATACCCTCCACAAGAAGTCATTTTATTCTTACAAAGTGACCTGTACAAACACAACTTTATATGTGTATGTATACCCCATTGCCCACTCGTCCCCCTATCTTCCACCTCACCCCGTTGTCCCAGCAATACCGCGTGATTGGACTCGCGGGAACACACTTTCAATAGCACAATCGCGAAGTTACCTAAACGATTCATACGAAATCACGTGGCTTCCATTTTAATTCAGCAGCGTTTTACTTTTTGCAAACATAAACATGTATGTTTTTGATCAAACATTACATTTGTGAAGTCTCTAATTATGCAGTTAACTGTTAAATGAATGTCACGGATAAATTATATCACAATCCTTCGACTTAATACAAACAAATATTAATCCAACAAAAATAACGCATATTGATATAAGTTAAGGTTCGATTTCTTTGAAGCCAGCATCCAGAGCATATTTATTTCTTAGATTCAGTAATATGACCATAAAATCCATTCAATTGTATATCAAACATACCAGCATATAAAGCGCTTGAAATTATTAGTAGAAATACCGTAGCAGTCGAGTGCATGGAGTATGGACAATTGGAAATAACATGCATCGCTGCAAGCCTTCCAGCTCAATGGCTGCAGCTGATTTGCTTGAGTATTGTGCAAGCATTGTGCTTAGAGGCATTCCTCTAATCCTATTTTCCTATAATAATAACGCTTGATATAAAAAAGTAAGCTACTTTACCAGTATATATACTTTCTACATAGTTTACCAAAACTCCAAGCCAAGCGTATTTAATTAATATTCCTTCTATATTAAAAATAACGTACTATAATGGTTTATACTCTACACACTACTGTTATGAATATTTCCCTTGTTAAAATGTATGTAATGTATGTATCCTCATTTTGGCCAGGTTTGACATCTATTTCCAGAACTCTCTCATAGACAAAATAACATGTTTCATATACAATTGATACAGCATGGCACTCGCTACCACAATATATGCATTATTTTAATGAAATATAGCTGTGAAAAAGGGCGCGTGCCACACAACACGCTGGCGGAGCGCGTGACACGTGTCGATTATGTTGAAAGCATGAAACAGTCTGTTGCGACGTCACTTGTCAGTTGTCACGAACCGTTCTAGTTGCGTGCGTCTATGTGAAAACAAATACTACTAGATAAATCTAGTACTAAATATATTTAGTACATAAATTTATTTTTTGTTTGGAATGTTAATCTCAAAAATTAGGCCGTTTATGATAAAACGTGGCTTTGTTCCCCAAGTTGAAATAAGCCTGATTTAAATCATAAAGTATTTTAAAATAACTTTTAGTTTCTGTAGTTATATAATTTAGCATCACGTGTGCCTATATAGCATCATACTCAAAAAAATTACGATTCCAACAATATCACATTTATAGAAATACTAGCAGACCGGCCAAGCGTTGCTGTGGCTAAGGTTTTAGTTATAATATTACATAGTAGTAACCTATTCAAGGGAAACGGTAGGAGAACACCAGTCATGGGGACCACCGTGCTTTTTGGGTGGTAATGCCATTAAATTGTAGCTTATTTGAAACGTTGGTACTTACAACACAGCGCCATCTGTTAGAATTGTGACTATCAAATAATAAACAATTATTTTGCAATAAAATAATATTGCGGTTATAAATTGAGATGCTATCCTATCTTTTAAGTTAGATCAAACTACACACGGTGTGCAAATTTTATTGAAATCGGTTCGGTGGTTTAGGAGTCCATAGCGTACAAACAACGTGACACGTAATTTATATATATTAAGATATACTGACAAACTGACTACCTTCTTTTTTAATGTCGGCTAAAAACATATATCATTTCAACTTTTCTTTAAATTGTACCATTGACAATTGTAAATGTACTATAAATAAATCTGGTAGCATGCAGCATACGTAGCACTCTCTCAGTATTGTATAAAAGCTCATATGAACTTTAGTTATTAGACCACGCAGTGTTGCAATAAACTTCACCTTTGCAAGATGTTTCTTTCTATACCTATAACCTTACAATCAACGCAATATTCATACAGAGAATTCTTAATTTCTTTTAAGAACACAATATTCTTACAACGGGAATTATTTTATAAGAGCATATTTTACACAAAACAAGATAGGTTTCTTCTCAGAAAATACGTACATAATTTTCGCAAAGACTTTAGTTTACAAACAAACCCGTCAGTTAGTTTTCTATTCTCTTTAATATCTTTCAGGTCAAGGCTTTCGCTATTATAGCTGATTACAGATTTATAATGTATTTTATAGTAATTTGTCATTTTCAGTGTTAGAAAATCCAAATAACAATGACGCCATATATATATATATAAGTAATACCCCTGGTATGTCAGCAAGGAATCTGATGACGTTTAAGTATTTATCCTTGAAAGGAAAGCTTACCATTACGATGCCGGATACCGAATAATAAATAAACACCATTATAATAATTTTATTGACGCTTTCCGCATTTATTACTCTTGACAATTGACAATCGCACATAATAATAAAGTCCTCGAAACCAAAAACCCAAAATTCCATTAAAAAGTTTAAAATAAAGCTTTAATATTAAAAATACACGCTCCAAAAAGCTTACGCGCGCTTTCAATTATCGTATTTGTTAACATGCAAATGACTGGGTATCCCTGGCTAATAGAAAATGGACCCTTTCTATCGAAACATTACGGACCCGTATTGTCTTTAGATAATCTAGTCCTTATCGACAAGTTGTTCTGTACTTTGTAAACATGGAAGGTAATTCGTGTTTGTTTTCGCTTCGGGAGTTTAAAATTGTTCAATGTTGATGTAGGGCTACCGCGATTGTTGGGAATCATAATTGGAACGCCGGTACCATTGCTAAATTAAAAGTGAACTCGAGACTGTTAAAGTTATTTTACTAAGTTTTAATGCGAAGCTTCCTTTGATACATTTACCCATTCTATAATACTGATAAACAACAATCAAAACTAAAAATACCAATAGTAATAGTAATTACCAACTAAGGGCCGGTTTTTTGATCCGTAGTTAACTCAACTATTGGTAAAAAATCGTTACTATTAGTTAAATATCAGCAAAATGCGTTTTTTGATCCGTGGTAAGAGCATCCAATGGTAAAATATCTAACCATTAGTCAAAAAAGTTAACTACTCAGTATCGGAGGGTTAAAAAGATGGCCGCTGGTAATTTATATAGTAACAGCTGTTTGTCACAGAAATCAAACTATGATAAATACGTTTATTAATATCTAATGATGAATTTAAACATATTGAGATACTTTAATTAATGAAACGATGAAGAAGACGATAATATTATATGAGAATGGGTTAATGAGTGACCAAAAATATTTAGGCAATGTCATCCGCCATTAGAAACCTGGGATGATGTAAATTTTTGTCACTGTTACCCCCTATCGAAGGGAACAGTGCTCTGGATTGTTACTGAAATTGGGAATGATCTTAAACTGCCAATGAACAAGAGTATATATAGACAGCAGCTCATACCAACCTATTTTGCTTCATTACTAACTATAGAACCGCAGCAGTATATAATTAAGTATATTACTAATTCATTACGTGTTTTATTGCCTATAATATTAACTTATAATTATTATAATTAAATAAAATACAAGAACAAGAGTATATATAGACAGCAGCTCATACAAACCTATTTTGCTTCATTACTAGCTACAGAAACCGCAGCAGTATATAATTAAGTATATTACTAATTCATTATGTGTTTTATTGCCTATAATATTAACTTATAATTATTATAAGTTAATATTATAGGCAATAGAATACATAATGAATTAGAGTTAATATTATTTATATATTACTAATAATATTAACTTATAATTATTATAAGTACATACAAGTATGTAGTTATACTAAAAACTACAGCTACACATTAGTTAGGGACCTATGATATTCTTTAGGGCTTTTATTACATTTGTGAGTTAGCATCTACCTACTTTATTACAAGAATTTATAAATAAAACATTTGACTTGATTAATAAACTGTTTAATTATAACTTAAATACAAACCATTTTTATTAAAAAAACATTACAAAATTTACATGAAACCCTAAAGTAGCAATTAAATATTTTCTAATTGTTTCTTCTTGCATTTCACCTCAATATGATGCAACTCTTTTTGCTGCTACATATATTTATTGTACCTTTCTTCCATCTGCTGCATCACTTTTTGGTGCACCTCCTCTTTATGCAGTATGAATTTTTGGTGGGCCTCTCATTGGTGCAGCAAATGTTTTTGATGCTCTTCCTTAGCATAATTGAACAAATCATCCTCTCTTATTTGTCTTTGTTTCAAAAACTCAATTTTTTTTATCCGTGTGGATCATAATCCGCTTCCTTGTTTCCAAAGGGTTAAAAGATTTTTTCCTTTTGTTGTAGGACACAGCTATACAAGAATAAATATAAAAATGTGCCTACACCTTCATTAAATGTATATTAAATTTAACACTTCGGTGTCTAGACCCATCTGAGTTGAAAACGTCACAGAGATTTCCAAGCTGCATCTTTTTGTAGATTGCTGCAGTGATCAGTTGTTTGCAGGTTACGACTGTGTAATCCTTGAGAAGCATCACCAGTTTGGCAGTTTCTTTTTTGGCGAAGTTAGCAGTATGGTCCCTTTAACAAAACATAAATGTATTACTTTCTATTACGAAACACAAGATAAACCGGAATAAATAACACGAAAATATGTTTGTACTTACTTATTTGACCGTTGGCTGTTTGCGGACATCGTTATTTATATATTTAAGTATCGTAAAAAGTGTAAACCGTATTAAATCACAGAAAAACAACTTTATTTATATCGTGTTATTTAGATTAATTTGACACTTCAAACTCTTCAAAGCGCAAATAACGAATGAAGATAGCAAAAATGGATTTCATTCACTCAATATGTCTAGTGTTGTCATACAAAATAAATGTTCCCCACAAAAAAGAACCACATTTTTTGGGATGTCATTGCTCATTGCACTGGCAACAAATTGACAAATTGTTAAGTTTAACTATAGTTAAAAAAGGCATTGAAAAACGCATTTACGATTTTACCAATGGTTATTCATTTAACTATAGTTAATGTAACAAATGGTAAAACCATTTTTTACTACGGATCAAAAAACTGGCCCTAAATAACTAGAATACACAATACACTTTACC